TGTGAAGTGTCTGTTGTCCAATGATTCCCTGAATACATTTCATCAGGCTGGGTATGACTTTTAAAAGACTTGAGAATCTTTATCCAAGATTATCTTATAAATATCTATTTAGATATATTCTTGCTTTTAATTTTATGTTTGTCCTCTTGTGAGTTCAGATTAATTGTTTACAACATATGAATGAACATGTAATTTTATTGGAATTACAGGGGTTTTAATATGATAGTCTTACTTTTGATAGCAGTCATCAGTTATGTCAGTGGACACAAAGACAAAGCCTTAATATGACGTGAGATGGTCCCAGGTTGCCCTATAATATGTCTGATGTTCACAATTCTTTTTTTTTTTTTTTTTTGTCATATTTGTGCAATTTTTGTTTGACCTATTTTAAATATACCCTTGTCTGCCACTTTCTGATGCACCCAGTAGCGAGTCCAGTTGTTCAAAACTAATGCTAGAATGAAGCATTGTTTAGTACCACAAATATTTTTACTCAAGACCACAATCATACAAATATGACACATATCTCGAGATGAGGTGGGTGAAAAACGATGAACTGTTTTGAACAGTCAGTGGAGAACCCAGATGCAGACCAAACAGACAGAATGATTTAATGGCGCTAGGCACAAAATAGCAGACAACAAGTGAGATTTGTGTAACAACTTTTAGGTAGGTAGGTAGGTAGGTAGAACTGTATTGATCGCACAGTGAGGAAATTCCAGGGTTCCAGCAGCAGTAAAGGACAAAACAACATGACACCATAAGAATAAACACCCCACACATATCTTGAGAAAACAAGATCCAGGTACCCGAAAAACCTAACAAAAATATAGTATTTCAGAGACAATCAAGAACAAGAATAGACCTCCCACAGTTTGTCCCTAAGACACAAGTCAAAAAAGATACCTAGGAGCAAGACAAAAAAAATAGTATTGAGAGGAATCAAGAAAACAACCAGGAAATCAAGAACAATCGAATGTTACTCACAATTAATCCCACAATGGAGGAAAGAAACTTGTGTTTCAGCCATAAGGATCTCTGAGGAATTACCCTAAAGCAAGGCAATGTACAGTATTTGCGAGAGATCAGGAACAAGATATAACACTTTAGCCTATTTACAATGCATTTCACCCCTAGAGCTGAATATTGCACCTCAGTAGATTATTACATAGTCTCTCATAATTTCACCTATCTTATCACTGCAGTGATGTGTTGTACAGTTTGATGGCTGTGGGGAGGAATGGCCTGCGGTAACAATCCTTCTTATACTGGGGGTGTAACAGTCTCATGCTAAAAGAACTGTTCAGAGCCACCACTGTGTGGTGCAGGGGATGGGAGGGGTTATGCATGATGGATGTTAGTTTTACCAGCATCCTTCTGTCCGCCACCTTCTCGATGGAATCCAGAGAGCAGTCCAGGACAGACCCAGCTCTCTTAACCAGCTTGTTTAGGCTCTTTCTGTCCCTGACTGTGCTTCCTCCTGCCCAACCCACAACAGTGTAAAAAACTGCAGATGCCACTACAGTATCATAAAATGTCCAAAGGAGTGCCCCGCGCACCCTGAAGGACCTCAGTCTCCTCAACAAGTGGAGGCAGCTCTGGCCCTTCCTGTACAGGGCGTCTGTGTTGTTGGTCCAATCCAGTTTATTGTTGAGGTGGACACCCAGGTATTTAAAGGTGTCCACAATCTCAATATCTGAGCCCTGCAAGCTCACCGGCGTGAGTACTGGTGATTTCCGCCGGGGGTCAGTCACCATCTCCTTTGTCTTGCTGGTGTTCAGGACCAGGTGATTTTTCTCACACCACTCCACAAAGTCAGTAACAACCCCCCTGTATTCCCCCTCGTCCCCCCCAGATACACATCCAACAATAGCAGTGTCGTCTGAGAACTTTTGTAGATGACACTGGTGAGAGTTGTACTTGAAGTCTGACGTGACCCGAGATGTGTTTCAGTCTTTTCCACACCTCGCATACGTTGTTCTTTTCCATGCTCTGCTCCAGCTTCTTCCTGTAGCTAGCCCTGCACCTCTGGATCAAGTACTTTAGTTCCCGCTGCACTCTGCTCAGCTCCTCCTTGTCCCCTGAGAGGAAAGCCCTCTTCTTCTCATTCAGCAATGCCTTTAACTCGGGGCTCACCCACGGCTTGTTATTGGGAAAACACCGTACTCTTCTGGATGGCACCGTATTTTCCACACAGAAATTTATGTAATCTGAAATATAGTGTGTGAGGCCGTCTATGTCCTCACCATGAGGACTACAGAGGGTGTCCCAGTTTGTGGTGTTAAAACAGTCTCTCAGCTGTTCAATTGCCTCCTCTGTCCATACCTTCACTACTCTTACCTGCGGTGATACCTTTTTCACCACTGGAGTATACACAGGAAGCAGGTGGACAAGGTTGTGGTCAGAGCGACCTAGAGGGAGGAGGGGGGCAGAGGTGTATGCATTTCTGCCATTTGCATACAGTAGGTCCAGAGTTTTACAGGAAACAACAAACAGGCTGGAGGCACTAAATGACTGAAACCAGTCGGTAAATAGTAACTGAATCTAGGAGGTAGTTATGATGCCAGAGACAAAATTAATGGAACCAACAGTCAATTAATTACTGAATCTTGTGAAAACCTTCCAGGGAAAACACCAGGGGAGTAACTTAACAAGAGCACAGAACATCTGAGGTCATTACTGGGGATACAGTGGATAACACAGCAAGTAGTCTTCAGGTAGGTATTTTCTTTCAGGAACATTCAGGATTGCAAGTTTGAAACTGGTAAACCTCTTAGCAGGAGGACACGTGCAGGATCCAGTCTGGTAAGCATTCTTTTGGCTGGAACTGACAGGATTGCAGGAAAGGGAACAAAAACCTTACCAGTTAGAATCAGGTAAGAGATCCCAGTCTTATCAGTGAGATGCATAATGATGACCTGTTTGGGAGCTGGCAAAGACGGTGTCCGGTGATAAGAGCCAGATAAGTATTTATAATCAATGAGTAAGACTGAAGATCCAAGCGGGAAGCAAGCAGAATAAACATTCAGGATGGAAATAGGTCAGTAAGGGGCTGAGAATCTGGGCAATGACGGAGCAGATGAGTTGACTGAAGAGTCTCTAGGAGCAGTTGTCTTACAATCTGGCAGTGAGTGGCTGTACAGGGCTGGCTTAAACACAAAGTGGTTAATTACTCTGATGGAATGCAGGTGAGTGAGATCAGAACAGGACAGAACAGGAGTAAAAAGAGGGAAGGCGAGGGCTGAGACAAAACATTTAGCATTTCCATTTGTCGTACTAGTGCAGCTATTATAATACCGAACAACAGTGCGGATTTTTTTTTTTGAAAGAAACTCAAGAGTTGAAGATGTCAAGCTGATGTAAATAGATGCTAAAGAAACAAGAAACATTCTTTTTGTGACTTAAATTGTGTCTTGTTTGAAAAAAGGATGGAGAACTCTATGCTGAAGTTTGATTGCTCACATTATAACTGAAAAGAATGAGTTGTGGGGTTGTAAGGTTTCCAGAAAAAATGACCAATAATGGGTATGTCACTGAGGAATAAATGAAGTGATAGAAATGTTCCAGTAATGAGAGTTTTTTTTTATTCTTCCCAGAAAGATTTTAAAAATATTGAGGGTTAGGGGGGTGCCAGAAACAGAGAGTCTTTACAAGTCTGAGGAGCACATGTGTGTGCCCCAGGAGCCATGTGGCACAGAAAGAAGCATCCTATCCCAGAAATGTTTGCTCCCACTGGTCATCAGCTTGAAGATGGAGCCCTGCCTTGGTCTTTAGCTGTTACAGTAGTTCAATGGAGACATGATTCTGTGTTTCCCTGTCAGCCTTTTCAATCACTGACACTTTTTGAGTTAAAAAAAAAATCGCTTCCTTGAGTTCTATCAAAGCATATTGTGAAATTAAAAGTAAGGATGAAGAATGGTTTACACACCAGGAAAAGGTTTACAGTAACTATCCAACTGTGGCACATAGACTAGAATTCACCAGGACAACGGCATGTCCTCTGTTTCTCAGGCACACACACACACACACACACACACACAAAACAAAGGATCTTTCTGTGGAGTCTGTGTAATGACACCCATCTCCTGCTCTATTTTTGGGAGGCAACTATTCCTGGTGCATCATTATTGTCATTAGCAGTCTCATATTAGCAGGCATTATCACCATTATGCACATAGTTGCACACTTTATCTCTTCTCAGCTCAATACAGCACTGCTCTCCAGGTGATGTTGTAATGAATGAAGGGCAGATTGGTCTAAGAGATAGTTTCTGTTTTTAGCATTTGTACTCTTTGCACATGTGCGGGTTTGCTTATGACCAAGTTACAAGCACTGAGATATGAAAGGTTCTGGACAGTGAGTGTGTGTAACTTTTGAATACACTGACCATTACAACACTTGCAACAACACTGAAGGAAAATATAAGAAAAACTAAAAATTGTGCCATATACTGCAGCAGATGTCACTGTGAGCACCACTGTGCCGTTATCACTTGCATGCCTTCAAACTCTTTACTCAGTCAAAAGCTGCAAAACACTCACAGGGGAAAACTCCTAAAAGTCCTGCACTGGCACTCTTACTTAACAAAGTACAGAAGTATATGCTTTCAGTGTTAACGTTTTTCATTAGGCCGCTTAGTCACCCCTTTTCAGCAAATTAATCAACAATATAGGCAATAAATTGTTAAAAATGCTATTTTTTCAATAAAAGATTCGCAGCACCTCAGGGAGGAGAGAGGACGCCTCCTCTTACATCTTCCCACTCTATGTGCACGCCATCCGCCAAATAGCCAATAAGAGATTTAATTCATATTAAGCCCTGAAACTGGAGAAGAGTTGCACATCTTCAGGAAGAAAAAATATGGATATATATTTTTAAAAAGTTTATGCGTGCGTTTCTGTTGTGTCTTCTCTGTGCAGAGGAAAGGATGCTCGTGTCTGGGACGTGATTGGCTGTTTCTGCAGCCTCCCGGCTTGTGGCTATAAATCCTCGCTTTGCCCTTCGGTAGCTCAGAGCGCAGACGGAGCAGGGAGTGGTGGCTCCTGACGCACGGCCGGACACACCGATAACTTTCACTGCTGGAACTCACTAACAAATCGTAATTATCCAAGAAACGTCAAACCGGTGAGCGCAACACTGCTGGGAGACCATGGCCTTGACTGCACTGCACTGTAAGTCCAGGATATTTAAGCTTAAAATGACAATGTCATGATCTCGGTTTAGTGGAATTCCTGTAGTAAAGCAGTGGTTTGACTCTGTGCATCAGTATCCTCGACCGCAGCTATCTCTCTACTTTAATAACTGTCTTTTCGTGCGTCTTAGAGTTTTCAGTAATTGCGAGTTTGCGTGTCAAATGTGTTGTTGAGTGTTTTGGACTGAATGGCCTCAAATATGCTGGTGCTGCGCTCTCAGGGCGCTACATTGCTGCCCTCAATATGTTCAGCTTTATCCTATGGATCTTTTCGTGACGGAGACAATACACTGCAAGGAACTGGCAGAAAACTATATTTGACACTTAGACAAAGAATATAAAATGGGCCTATACATTTTAACTGGCACAGCCATGTATTTTTGTGCAGTGGAGCTGAAACCCCGCTGATATTTTTCAGTTTGAGTTGTCCACCTTTATCCTCTCCCATCTTATTGTGACGTTCTGATTTTACTTGCATGGAGCATTCCTGTTCGGAGTATAAGGTGTTCCTGTTATTCCAAACTAGACAAAATAAAAGGAACACCTTGCAACACAACATCATAAAGCTACAAGCTCAGAGGTAACCACAGAACTGAACCAATGGCTCTGTGACATTGGTTTATCACAAACATTGAACCCTTCACAGAGACAGGATTTCTTACAGATTTATGCATGTGACACATACTAGAACAAATGAAAAAATATGACAAGTGTCAGGAAATCAATGTGGTTTTCAATTAAGATAATAATGTAGTTTTAGTGTGAGTATAAAATTATCCATCCAGCTCTGTTTTATATATATATAGCTTTTTCTTTTGATTATGTTAATGTCTTATGGGGTGGGGTTGTTTGTTTTTAATCTGGCTATACAATGAATTTTCCCTTTTGGAGACAGTAAAGTTGAGTTTCGGTGAGTTGGGTTGAGTTAACAGATTTGTTATTTGTTGTCAGTTTATTTTAAATATTAAGGGATGTACACAAAATTGCATCTATTTGGAAATAAAGTGAAATACCTGAAGTCTATTTCTCAGTTTGTCCAAATTAAAGACAGTTAAAGCTACACATTGTCTCCTGCATTGAGCTACTGGTTTGATTCCTGGCTTCTCCACTTCACATGTTGAAGTGTCCTTGAGCAAGATACTGAAACTCAAGTTGCTCCCACTGACTGACCCACTGGTGTGTGATGTGTGTGTACTAGGGAGTGTGAATGGGCAAATAGTGTGAAAGCACTTTGAGTATGGTGGAATGCATAGAAAAGCACAATACAAGTATAAGACCATGTGCCCTTGTCTGTTACTGTCTCTTCAGGTTGACCCCTGTCGTCTCAGCAGCAGCTTTCACTCTTTTCCCTCCCCCTTGCCCCTCCCCTGTCTTTGTGTTTCCTTGTTCCTCCTATTGTTCTTCTAAATGGTACAGTAGATCAAACTGTCAGTCTTGGCTCTTTCAGTACCAGTTTGTTCCTGCATTTCGGTGGGGTTTTTTTTGCACTTTTTGGCAGTTTTACTGCACCACTTGCCAGTTTTCCACCTCTTTCTTATTAAGATTGGCAACCTGAGCTAAAGGTCAGAGGCAAAATGTATTAGATTAAGAGGCTCAACCCAATTAAAACCCAGCTTTCCAGTTAGATCAGAGACTCCTGCTCTAACATGGCCTAATGAGGACAACACAGTGGGGTTATTAAGTTGTTAGAGGGGCTCTGTGTAGACAATGGCCAAATTTTTCCAGACTGATTTCTTGTGATATGTGAGTTCATCCATGTGATTTTGTATCTTTGTATGAACAGAATGAACTTCTGTGTTTTTCAGCCAGCTGCAGCTGTGGAGGTGTTTGAAACAGTGTACTCCTAAAAAAATGTGTGCGTGTATGTTTGGTGTAAATGTAAGCATAATCTTAGCTGTGATCATAAACAAGCTAAAGTCCACAGCCCTTTGCCTGTTCATACCATGTTGTTTACATGTCCACTCAGAAACACAGAGTTTGTGTGTATGTGAGAGAGAGACCAAGAGAGAGAGACTTTGCACCCTGGTAGCATGTCTCTACAGATATTGCTGCCTTTGTCAATCAGGCCATTTATCATGAGAGAAGCCCCAGGGCTTTCTGGAGGCTACACATGATTCTTGAGAGGGTCAGAGCCCAACTAGGGTCCTCTGTGAGACAAAGACATTTCTCTGCTGTGCACACAAAAGCACACAGAAAAACTGTTCCTCAGCTGACCTACAGCTGTGTTTCCAAAAATTTGGGGCGTTGTTTAAATAAAAATGAAACGACTTTTTTTTAACCCCTTTTATCCTATACTCATTTGGTAACAATACAAATATAAGATATTACATTTTCCAAATTTTCAAATACATTGTAACATAGGCTGAATGAAGCCGGAGACAGAATTGGCCTTTTTGTGCACAACCGTACAATCCCATGGTGCCGCCTTTTATTATTAACACACACACACAACTATTTACAGTCGCAAGAAAAAAGTAATGGCACTGTTTGCAATTTTCTGGTTTTCTCCATAAGTTGGTCATGAAATGTGATCTGATCTTCACCAAAGTCACAAATATCAACAAGCACATAGTATTGTCTTGCTATAAAGACTTTAGCCTTTATAGCAAGACAATACCAAATCACAGTCTGTACATTTCAACAGCATTGCTCCTTAAAAAGAGTCCAGGTGCTAAACTGGCCTGAGCAGCTGAAACTCTTATCAAGCAAGCATGGGAAAACATTTTGTTTTCAAAACTAAATCAATTTATCTTCCCATTCCCCAAACACATACAGCTGTTAACAGAACGCTTGATGCAACAGAGTGGTAAACATACCCACTGTCTCAGTGTTTTTGAAAAGCCTTGTTGAAATCAGTTTAGAATGAGCATGCATATATTGTTCAAATAATTAAATTTCTCAGCAGCAGCATGTGATACACTGTCTTTGTACTATTTTCAATTAAATATGTCTTTAATGATTTGCAAGTCATTGCATTCAGTTTTTATTCACATTTTACACAGCATCCAAACTGTTTTGGAAATAAGGTGTAAGCTTATCATGACTCAGTTTTTCTGTTTAATGTTTTTGCACCTTCCCCGTCCTTTATTATATACTACTTTTACATTATACGAGCATGTTTTCACTAATGACATATATTGTGCTGTTAATGCTGCCACGCTAATTAATGTATCCAAAACTGAAAGGATTTTAACACCTGATAATTCAGGAACAATTTGCTTCCTGAAGAGGTTTAAGCTCAATCTGTTTAAATTTACAGTGCCTTGCGAAAGTATTTGGCCCCCTTGAACTTTGCGACCTTTTGCCACATTTCAGGTTTCAAACATAAAGATATAAAACTGTAATTTTTTGTGAAGAATCAACAACAAGTGGGACACAATCATGAAGTGGAACGAAATTTATTGGATATTTCAAACTTTTTTAACAAATAAAAAACTGAAAAATTGGGCGTGCAAAATTATTCAGCCCCCTTAAGTTAATACTTGGTAGCGCCACCTTTTGCTGCGATTACAGCTGTAAGTCGCTTGGGGTATGTCTCTATCAGTTTTGCACATCGAGAGACTGAAATTTTTGCCCATTCCTCCTTGCAAAACAGCTCAAGCTCAGTGAGGTTGGATGGAGAGCATTTGTGAACAGCAGTTTTCAGTTCTTTCCACAGATTCTCAATTGGATTCAGGTCTGGACTTTGACTTGGCCATTCTAACACCTGGATATGTTTATTTGTGAACCATTCCATTGTAGATTTTGCTTTATGTTTTGGATCATTGTCTTGTTGGAAGACAAATCTCCATCCCAGTCTCAGGTCTTTTGCAGACTCCATCAGGTTTCCTTCCAGAATGGTCCTGTATTTGGCTCCATCCATCTTCCCATCAATTTTAACCACCTTCCCTGTCCCTGCTGAAGAAAAGCAGGCCCAAACCATGATGCTGCCACCACCATGTTTGACAGTGGGGATGGTGTGTTCACATAACGTTTTGCATTGTTGCCAAAAAGGTCGATTTTGGTTTCATCTGACCAGAGCACCTTCTTCCACATGTTTGGGGTGTCTCCCAGGTGGCTTGTGGCAAACTTTAAACGACACTTTTTATGGATATCTTTAAGAAATGGCTTTCTTCTTGCCACTCTTCCATAAAGGCCAGATTTGTGCAGTATACGACTGATTGTTGTCCTATGGACAGAGTCTCCCACCTCAGCTGTAGATCTCTGCAGTTCATCCAGAGTGATCATGGGCCTCTTGGCTGCATCTCTGATCAGTCTTCTCCTTGGATGAGCTGAAAGTTTAGAGGGACGGCCAGGTCTTGGTAGATTTGCAGTGGTCTGATACTCCTTCCATTTCAATATTATCGCTTGCACAGTGCTCCTTGGGATGTTTAAAGCTTGGGAAATCTTTTTGTATCCAAATCCGGCTTTAAACTTCTCCACAACAGTATCTCGGACCTGCCTGGTGTGTTCCTTGTTCTTCATGATGCTCTCTGCGCTTTAAACGGACCTCTGAGACTATCACAGTGCAGGTGCATTTATACGGAGACTTGATTACACACAGGTGGAAATTTCGTTCCACTTCATGATTGTGTCCCACTTGTTGTTGATTCTTCACAAAAAATTACAGTTTTATATCTTTATGTTTGAAGCCTGAAATGTGGCAAAAGGTCGCAAAGTTCAAGGGGGCCGAATACTTTCGCAAGGCACTGTAAATTGTTTTATCGGTTTTTGAATATTTACATGAGCATTGCCTGTCAAAGAGTCTTTAGTCAAAGAAGTCTTTAGCCATGCTAGCAGCTCTGTGTGGCTGTACCTAGGCACAGTGGTGCTTTGAGCTAAATGCTAACACATTGTAGGTTAGTGCATTAGCATGCTAACATTTGTTGATTAGCAGTAAACACCAACTACAGATCAGGCCGATGGAAATGTCATTCATTTTATAAGTACAGTATCTGGTCACAGACCAAAGTATTGGAGAAATAGAAATTTTGACCTGATGCTGGCACAAGAAGTCATTTACAATTCATACCAAGGGTGATATTAATGTCTGTATGAAATTTTATGGCAATTTATCCAACAGCCCAATGATAGTGGTAGATAAAAAGTCAAGGGATCATAAAAGTCAGTAGAATTTATCATCTAGGGACTATGAATGTGTGTACAAAAATGTATGCCAGTGCATTTGCTGAGAAATTTCACAGGATAAGTGATAGTTTTGATCTGCAGATGACACTAAAGAAGAAGTCATGGGATCTCCAGATTGCTTTGGATTCATATTCTGGGCACCCTGGATATCTGTACAAAATGTTATGACATTCAATGCAATAGCTGTTGTGCTCTTTCACTAATGATAAGAAATGTCCACCTCATGGTGATTCCAAAGTCAGGAGGTCACCAAAGCCAGTAGGATTCATAATCTGGGAATCATAAATAGCTGTACAAAATTTTCTCTGAATTCATTTAATAGTTGCTGGGATGCTTGAATCTTTCACCTCAGCATGTGTCTTGGAAAGCCCATAGCTTTGTTTTGCCAAACAAGCTTTTTTTGTGTGTGTATATGTGTGTAACATGATGTTTCATCTACTTTCTCTGCAGGACAAAGAAGCTTGGACTCAGACCCACGCTGCAAGACCTGGAGCAAGGCCCCATGTGGGAATATGCATGTGAGTGTGTGAATGCCATTGAGTCTGGACTGCTGTGTGTGTACCTTCGAGTGAGCAAAACATTTTTCTGTGTGAGTGTGAGGCCCGTGCAAGGATGAGGGCTCTGGCCGTTCTGCTGTGTCTCCTGATTGGGGAGGTCGGAGCCTCTCGGGTTGTCCGCAACTCCCAGGGCGAGCTTGAAGCTTCAGAACCCCCTAAGGCCAATGCTTCCATCCCGTTTACGCCCCCACAGCCAGGCCAGCCGCAGGGCTCCATGCCCACGATGTGTATAAAGCGCTTGGAGATCAAACAGGCTTTCAAGTACGTGAACACTGTCGTGTCCTGCCTGATTTTTGTGGTGGGGATCATTGGCAACTCAACACTGCTCAGGATCATATACAAGAACAAGTGTATGAGAAATGGCCCGAATGTCCTGATTGGCAGCCTGGCACTGGGCGACCTGCTTTATATCACCATCACCCTCCCCATCACTGTGTATAAGGTAACTGCATTTGTCCTTTTTGTTTGTCTGTTTACATTCATTTCTAGGGTGTTTGCCTGTTTGTTGAATGTGACTGATCTGTGACAGGTCTGTAGTTCAAAAACTCAGCTTTATGAATGATAACGTTTCATAATGGTGGTACAGTGCCTTGCGAAAGTATTCGGCCCCCTTGAACTTTGCGACCTTTTGCCACATTTCAGGCTTCAAACATAAAGATATAAAACTGTAATTTTTTGTGAAGAATCAACAACAAGTGGGACACAATCATGAAGTAGAACGAAATTTATTGGATATTTCAAACTTTTCTAACAAATAAAAAACTGAAAAATTGGCCGTGCAAAATTATTCAGCCCCCTTAAGTTAATACTTTGTAGCGCCACCTTTTGCTGCGATTACAGCTGTAAGTCACTTGGGGTATGTCTCTATCAGTTTTGCACATCAAGAGACTGAAATTTTTGCCCATTCCGCCTTGCAAAACAGCTCGAGCTCAGTGAGGTTGGATAGAGAGCGTTTGTGAACAGCAGTTTTCAGTTCTTCCCACAGATTCTCGATTGGATTCAGGTCTGGACTTTGACTTGGCCATTCTAACACCTGGATATGTTTATTTGTGAACCATTCCAATGTAGATTTTGCTTTATGTTTTGGATCATTGTCTTGTTGGAAGACAAATCTCCATCCCAGTCTCAGGTCTTTTGCAGACACCATCAGGTTTCCTTCCAGAATGGTCCTGTATTTGGCTCCATCCATCTTCCCATCAATTTTAACCATCTTCCCTGTCCCTGCTGAAGAAAAGCAGGCCCAAACCAGGATGCTGCCACCACCATGTTTGACAGTGGGGATGGTGTGTTCAGGGTGATGAGCTGTGTTGCTTTTACGCCAAACATAACATTTTGCATTGTTGCCAAAAAGTTCGATTTTGGTTTCATCTGACCAGAGCACCTTCTTCCACATGTTTGGTGTGTCTCCCAGGTGGCTTGTGGCAAACTTTAAACGACACTTTTTATGGATATCTTTAAGAAATGGCTTTCTTCTTGCCACTCTTCCATAAAGGCCAGATTTGTGCAGTATACGACTGATTGTTGTCCTATGGACAGAGTCTCCCACCTCAGCTGTAGATCTCTGCAGTTCATCCAGAGTGATCATGGGCCTCTTGGCTGCATCTCTGATCAGTCTTCTCCTTGTATGAGCTGAAAGTTTAGAGGGACGGCCAGGTCTTGGTAGATTTGCAGTGGTCTGATACTCCTTCCATTTCAATATTATCGCTTGCACAGTGCTCCTTGGGATGTTTAAAGCTTGGGAAATCTTTTTGTATCCAAATCCGGCTTTAAACTTAAGCCAACAGATCAACTGAATGTCTGTTTTTGTTCAGTGTAAAATGTTAAGATGTGGCATTTGCATGACATAAAAGCACAATCCAACAATTCAGGCATTTAATACAAAATGCAAAATCATGACTTTAAATTAATTTAGTTTATTAGGCTACAGACCCTGTGCATAATTTAATATGACTTTAATCTAAACCCGAGACCATTTCCTGGATGCCACTTTTGTACCAGATCATGGTTGCCTCCTCACCTCACCTCATTACTGGCCCTGAAATGCAACCGTCCTAACTGTTTTTGGAATGTGTTGCAGGCATCAGGATTGAAGTGAGTGATTATTGAGAACAAAGACTAAAATTGAGGTATCACATCAAATAATGTGCTGCTGTATTGTTTTCAGTGTAATACAGGACACAGATGATTTACATATCGCAATTTTCAATTTAAATTTTGATTTTACATACCGTCCCAACCTTTTCAGATTTGGGGCTATAATATTATATAACTGAAGTAACTAAATAACCAGTTATTTCAGACAAATGTCAGCATGTGTGTCAATGCTGTTCTTACAAATCCCAGATAGGAAAACAACGGGGAACACCAGAATCCTTGTGAAAACTTTGCAAATGGGTTTTATAAGCAAATTTGCTCTTAAGAACTTTTGGTGAATGTGGCCCATTGTCCAGTTGTTGAACCGGGAGAAGGCAGCATGGCTGTTGGTTTGGGCTTTAGCTGCTGAGGTACTGTAACAGTACCTTTAAATGAATCTCACAGTTCTGTCGATGTGTTTACTTACATGCCACTGACTTTTTCCTGCAGCTAATAGCTATGGACTGGCCATTTGGCGTGTACATCTGTAAGCTGATACCATTCATTCAGAAAGCGTCAGTGGGAATCACCGTCCTCAGCCTGTGTGCCCTCAGTATTGACCGGTGAGTACACCTACACTCCTCACACACAGGACAAACATTAGTGCTGAAAGTAGCTAGTGCACATGTCTGTGTTTGTATGTTGTGTGTGTAGCTACCATGCGGTGATATCATGGAGCAGGGTGAAGGGGATTGGGATCCCACTGTGGAAAGCAGTGGAGGTAACTCTGATCTGGCTGGTTGCTGTGGTGCTGGCAGTCCCAGAGGCAGTGGCCTTCAACATGTTTGAACTGTCATACAGGGGCGACAAGCTACGGGTCTGCATGCTGCATCCAGAGCAGACCACCAGCTTTATGACGGTAGGGCATGAGAAGATCTGCAGAATTAGCAGTGATGGCAAAATTACTCAGATTCTTTACGGAAGTATAAGTAACAACATTACAATTTAAAAACGTTACAAGTATGAATAATGGGGTTTGTTAGTTTTATTATTGGTAATTTATTACAAGTATGTACAAGTATGCTGATGATTCATCCAGCTGTTTGTCTATAATCCTGCAAACCAACACACACACACACACACACACACACACACACACACACAGACGAGCGGAACCAAAAACATAACCTCCTTGGCGGAGGTAAAAATGTATAAACTACTGACCTTTGACCACCAAAATCTAATTAGTTCATCCTTACGTCCAAATGGACATTTGTGCCTAATTTCAAGTTGTTCCCTCAAGGAGTTCCTGAGATATTGTATTTACAAGAATGGGACGGGTGTACAACCTGAAAACATAATGCCTCTGGCCATGGCTATTTCCAGCAGTTATAAAAAAAAAAAATCATTGTGACACTATACAAGGGCATTATTCAAAAAGTACCAATACAATTTAAAGATTCAAACTGGCTCTGGCTTTTACCAATAGTGCTAAAATATATCTTATATCAATCTTGAAACTTGATGAGCATTTAGTTTTATGAGTAACGTATATTTCATTGTCTGTATTATCATAGATGGTTTTTGTCTATAGGAAATCCTATATCTTAGTTTCACGTAACATTTCCAAAAGTGGTCAAAAGTTTTAGGGCAAGAGTTATGAAAAGCATGCATATTTCAACTTTAAATCTTTGTACAATGTTTGTTCTGGCAGGATAATTCTGTGAATATATTTGTGGGTGAAAAAAAACAGTAACAGAGTTTATAATATAAAAGTGTTTTGGTATAGTGAAGCCTCAAGACCACCTCCCAGTATAATTTAGTCTAAGTGTGCACTTGTTGTTTCTTTTCCCAGTTCTACCAGGAAGTTAAAGACTGGTGGCTGTTTGGTTTCTACTTCTGCTTCCCACTGGCCTGCACAGGATTCTTCTACACACTCATGTCCTGTGAGATGCTCAGTCAAAAAAAAGGCATGCGCATTGCGCTCAATGACCACATGAAACAGGTATTCATGCAGAGGTCTGGTGTGTAACCGTGAACTGTAAGACTTGCCGGTACTCAGCAGTAGCTATGAATTTTTGTCTTTGTGTGTTTGGTGTAGCGGAGGGAAGTAGCAAAGACGGTGTTCTGCCTGGTGCTAATTTTTGCTCTCTGCTGGCTCCCCCTTCATCTGAGCCGTATTCTGAAGAAAACAATCGATGACCAAAGTGACCCCACCCGTTGTGAACTGCTGAGGTAGGCTTGCAGACACAGAAGGGGATGCATATACAGTACACTGCTGACTTCATGAAAACCCATTGTTCTCTGTTGTGTGACTTCCTGTAATCTTTACTATAAATGTTGCCCTCTCCCCTGCCAGCTTCCTGTTAGTGATGGATTACATTGGCATCAACATGGCCTCCTTAAACTCCTGCATTAACCCAATTGCCCTTTACTTTGTCAGCCAGAAGTTTAAAAACTGTTTCCAGGTAGGAGAAAACACAATGGTGCTAAAAATAATGGTATCACTACAAAGCAAAGTCAACAAACTGAAACTGTGTGTTCTTGTGTTGTAGTCTTGCCTGTGCTGCTGGTGCTACAAAACATCTCCCCTTGACAAGCAAGGTTCAGGAGGACGCTGGAAAGTCTCTTGTCATGGGAATGGACTAGACCGTTCTAGCTCCCGCTCCAGTCAGAAATACACAAGCTCTTCATAAAAACACACACACAGGCGCTCCTCACATATCTCTTCTGCCAAATCCCCATCAGCTCCCATTTTGGAGAAACAGCATCGTAATTGCCAACAGACCAGTGATCAGATCCAAGTGAAGAGGAAAGAATGGAACGAGCTAGAAGTCACTTCTAGAGGACTCGCAGCAGACTGAAAGAATCATTCTACCCTGATGAATGAAACCAAGACTTCATAAATCTGCAGATGCGCCAACACTGAGGCTTGTATAGCGGACTGAAAGTCTCGCAGTGGGGTCATTGTGGTAATTACATTTATAGAGGACGTTCATTCAAACCATACTGTATGTAAATCTATCTAGTGTTACTTACATTCAGATTGCAGACTTGTGATTATATTTAGCCTCAGTGCTTCACATACAGTGGGTACAGAAAATAATCAGACCCCCTTAAATTTTTCACTCTTTGTTATATTGCAGCCATATGCTAAAATCATTTAAGTTCATTTTTTTCCTCATTAATGTACACACGGGACAGCACGGTGGCGCAGTGGTTAGCACCGTTGCCTCACAGCGAGAAGGTTCTGGGTTCGGGCCCCACCCGGGACCTTTCTGTGTGGAGTTTGCATGTTCTCCCCGTGCTTGCGTGGGTTCTCTCCGGGTACTCCAGCTTCCTCCCACAGTCCAAAGACATGCAGCTTAGGTTGATTGGTGTCTCTAAATTGCCCATAGGAGTGCGTGTGTGTGGTTGTTCGTCTCTGTGTTAGCCCTGCGATGGATTGGTGACCTGACCAGGGTGTACCCAGCCTTCACCTAATTGCCGGCTGGGATTGGCTCCAGTGGCCCCGTTCAGGGATTAAGCGGTAGAAAATGAATGTACACACAGCACCCCATATTGACAGAAAAACACAGAATTTTTTACATTTTTGCAGATTTATTAAAAAAGAAAAACTGAAATATCACATGGTCATAAGTATTCAGACCCTTTGCTGTGACACTCATATATTTAACTTAGGTGCTGTCCATTTCTTCTGATCATCCCAGAGATGGTTCTACACCTTCATTTGAGTCCAGCTGTGTTTGATTATACTGATTGGACGTGATTAGGAAAAGCCACACACCTGTCTATATAAGACCCTACAGCTCACAGTGCATGTCAGAGCAAATGAGAATCATGAAGTCAAAGGAACTGCCTGAAGAGCTCAGAGACAGAATTGTGGCAAAGCACAGATCTGGCCAAGGTTACAAAAAAAATGTCTGCTGCACTTAAGGTTCCT